TTTGCTCTCAGTTCTTCTCTGGATTCCTCCAAAAGACATAAAATTATATCAATTATTAAGTATTGTTAGATATAATATGCATAACAATAGTGCAAAAAAAGAAAGACGAAAAGGCCCTAAAACTATACAGGAGTAATAGTTTTATATGTAATGAATTGAGTTAATGCACATTTTAAATCATTTCTGATAAGCTGACATACCGTAAGCCCTAGAGCAGGAGTGTCCAACCTGCAGTCCAAGCACCACATGCTGATTTTATACGGATTTCATTTGCTTATCTGCATTGTTAGACATCACAAAATGTATGCACAGAGCCTTTTTTTTGCTAATCAGCTTTTGTTAGTGTTCGTATATTTAAAGTGGTCTGAAGCTTCCAACGTGTGGCAGAGGAAAAACGTTTGACACCCACCTTAGAACAACCACTAAGAAAATGACTTAAAAATACACTGATGTAGCAGGCCATATAGCTCATGGGAAGGAGAAGGGAGAGTTATGCTCACAACACTCTGTATTCTCTGGAGAGAAGTGGAGTGGGAGGGGAGGAGATGGGGGAGGCTCGACAGAGGGAGGGTAAAAGGTGGGATCACACCTATGGAACATATGACAAGGGTACAAGTCAAATCTGTGAAATGGAGAACATAGATGTTTCAGCACAATAATCAAGTAAAGGAGGTGAAAGCTACATTGATTGGTTTAATGTCACCACGTTAGATTGTATAAAAAAAATCAGCACATTGTACCCCACATATGCATGAATGCATTCATGATCTATGCGTATTTGACTTAATAAAATTAAAAAAAAGAAACACCTGTGATATAACATCTTGGTAATATTAACACCTTGGTGATAAGGGCATGAGGAAGGGATTTGGAGCTCCTTAACACAAGAGCTTGAGAGATGAGATCATTGGTGATTGGCAGTCTCTACACCTATGATGCAAGTAGCCACGGGATCACGTCTATAAGAAGCTGCAGGAGCAAACAGTTGGGGTGCACACATTCTTTCACGGACTTGCTCACTCTGACTTCTTCGCTTCTCCGGCTCGCAGGGCATCTGCCTGGTGTCTCTCTATGAAGACTGCTAAGACTTACTCTCCTATCAAGACTGTTTCTCTCCCTCAAAAACTATCTTTCTCTCTCTCTCCCTTCTGCTAAGCGCAGTTGATCCCCAGCAAGATAACACGGTGGTCCACATCTAGACAGCAGACAAGCCGGGCCAGAGACCTGGCCAATCCTGGGCCCCAACAAGTGGCAATGAGGATTGGATAGTGGAAGCCACTGGCACACTGATAAGATCATTAAAGAAATTGTAGTGCTACAGTAAAATATGCTCACTGAATTTAAAAGAAAGTACAATAGAGAGATAAAGAATATGAGGACATGAGAAGACACAGCAAAAAAGAAAATCGTAGATTAAGATCCTTAATGAACACAGATGCCATATCTTCAGCAAAGTAATAGCAAAGCAAATCTTATAGCACATCAGAAAGATAAGACACTGTGAGTAAGTGGGTTTTATTGCAGGGATGCAAGGATGGTTCAATGTATGCAAATCAATAAATGTGATTCATCACAAAAACAGAATGAAAAAAAAAACCATATAATGATCTCAATAGATAATGAAAAAGCATTTGACAAAATTCAGCATGTGTTCATGAAAAAAACCCTCAACAAACTAGGCATACGCACACACGCACATATTTATATGACAAATCCATTGCCAATATCACACTGAATCTGGAAAAGTTAAAAGCATTCTCTCTAACAACTGGAAAAAGACAAGAACGCCCACTGTTACCACTTGTATTCAATGTTGTACTGGAAGCCCTAGCTAGAGCAATCAGGCAAGAGAAAGAAATAAAGAGTGTACAAATTGGAAAAGAGAAGTCAAATTATCTCTGCCAGTGATACAATCTCATACCTAGAAAACCTCAAAGACTCTTCCAAAGACCCCTAGATTTGATAAATTTAGAAAAGTTTCAGGATACAAAATCAACATGCAAAAATCTGTAGCATCTCTATATACCTATAGCAACCAAGCTGAGAACTTAATCCCAGTATCTTTACAATATCTTCAAAAAATAAGGTGTCTGGGAATACATTTAACCAAGCAGGTGAAAGAGCTCTGCAAGTAAAACACTGATGCAGAAATCACAGATGATACAGACAAACAGAACATTTCGTGTATGTGGATTGTAAGAATCAATACTGTTAAAATGACCATTCCGCTCAAAGCAATGTACAGATTCATTGTAACTCCTATTCAAAGACCAGTTTATTTTTTTACAAAATTAGGAAAAATAATTCTAAAATTATATGGAATCAAAAAAGAGCCAGAATAGGCAAAGCTATTGCAAGCAAACAGCTACAAGAAATAGCACAAAGCTAGAAGCATCACATTCCCTGACTTCAAATTGCACTACAAGGTGTAGTGACATCTTATAGTGGCATAAAAACTGGCAGATCAACAGAACACACAGAGAACTCAGCAATATAGCCACACACCTAACCCAACTGGTCTTTCACAAAGTAGACAGAAACATACCTCTCACCACATAGAAAAATTAACTCAAGCTGGCCTGAGGCTATAAAATTCCTGAAGAAAATCCTAGGGAAAACTTGTGAACATTGCCCTACGTAAAACACTTATGACTAAGACCTCAAAAGCAAATGAAACAAAAACAAAAGTAGACAAATGGAACTTAAACTAAAAAGCTTCTTCACAGAAGAAGAAGAAATAGTCAATAGAGTAAAAAGACAACCCAGAGGATTAGAGACAAAATGTGCAAACTAGGCATCCAGTGAAGGAGTAACAGCCAGAACCTACAAAGAGCAAACAACTCAGCAAGAGAAAAAGGCATCCCATTAAAAAGTGGGCAATAGAAAAGGTCAACAAACATGAAAAAAATGTTCAACATCATTAATCATCAGAGAAACACAAATTAAAACCACAATGCAATTCTCTTACGCCAATCAGAATGGATGTTATTAAAAAGTAAGAAAATAACAGATGTTGATGAGGATGCAGAGGAAAGGGTATATTTACACATTGTTGCTAGAAATGTAAACTTGTGTGACCTCAGTGGAAAACAGAGTGGACATTTCTCAGAGAACTGGAAATAGAACTACAGTTGATCCAGTGACCTCGCTGCACTGACCTACCCAAAGGAAAAGAAGTCATCGTTTCAGAGACACCTGCACTCAAGTGTTCACCACAACTCTATTCACAAGAGCGAAGACATGGGATCAACCTAAGTGCCCTTCAGTAGATGACTGGATAAAGAAAATGTGTTCTACACATGCCAGGGAGCACTACTCAGCCATAAAGAGGAATGAAATCATGTCATTTGTGGCACAAGGAGGGAACAGGAACAGGAGACCATTATCTTAAGTGAAATAACTCAGGAACAGAAGGTCAAAAACTGCATGTTCTCATGAAGAGAACGAGCTAACGAAAGTATATACATAGAAATGAATAATAAACATTGGATACTCAGAAGTTAAGTGGGTGGGAGGGGCTGAGGGATGACTTGTGGGTACAATGTACCGCACTCTGTGATGGGTGCACTAAAAGCCCAGCCTTCACCACAGTGCAATCTATCTATGCAGCAAAACTGTACCTGCACTCCCTAAATTTGTAAAAACAAAAAAGACGAAATAAACGCAATTTGAAATAGATCTTTAAAGAAGATCTATTGTTCCCTCCCCATTCCCAGCCTTGCAAGAAGTCAGATTGCTGTGGAAAGAGTAGATGGCAACTGAGGAGAATTAGCATCGAGGCGTGGGGTCCACGTGACATATGTGTCTATGGGAGGGGAGATGGGGAGGAGAGATGAGGCAGCTGAGGAAAGAACACCTTCCCCTAGAGGGCCAGAGGGTGACAGGGATATTTTTGAAGGCTTTTATTTGGTACATATAATACAAAAATGCAATCATGATAAACAAAACTAAAATACATTCCTTTTATACTATAGATTTATATAGCATTGAATAAAGAAGGTCAAATAAAGAAGGCAGAGGAGTTAGTCAAGGTATTTCCCTTGAATAAGGATGAGGGAATTTAAAACTATGGCAGCAGAGAAAATTTACAAAAGGATAGCTTAGGGAGAAATTGATTGAATCTTAAGACGAAAATGATTTGAGCATGTTAGGAGATTTGATTTACCAATCCCCGAGCAATAAAGCAGCAGCTGAAAGATTAATACCATGTGTAGGACAGTCCCTGTGTAGCAGACCTCTGTGAACAACACATCCTGCTGTGTGTTTTCTGGTCCTTTTGATGGCTGCTATGATCATGGGGAGAAAAGTTAGACACTGAATAATGTGAAGTTATTTTTTTCTTAAAGACTTCAAAGAGATGCAAATATCATGTTGCACATGATAGTTTATGAATTGTTCAATTAGCAATCCATAAATTGCCAGTTATAGTTTGTCAGATGCTGAGATATATCTGTTAAACAGATGTGCTTAAGACAGAAACAGAAGAAATGGTGAATGAAAGAAATCTTACTCTCAATGAAGAAAAATGGGGTCTATTATAATAGATAGCTTTAGTTACAGATTTATCAAGAAAACTGGCTGGGCACAGTGGCACTTTTGGAGGCCCAAGGCTTGAGTATTTCTTAAAGCTGGGAGATAGACACCAGCCTGCTCAACACAGTTAGACCTCTTCTCTACAAAAGCCCCGGCCTGGCAATGCACACTTATAGTCCTAGCTTCTCAGGAGGCTGAGGCAGGAGGATCACTTGAGCCTAGGAGTTTGAGGTTGCTGTGAGCTGTGACGGTGCCACTGCAGCCTGGGTGACAGAGCAAGGCCTGTAGGGGAGAGGAGAAGGGAAAGAGAGTAGGGGAGAAAGGAGGAGAGACAGAGAAGAGGGAACAATGTTCACAGCTGTCAGTGGTGACATACAAATGCTAGGAAATGCCTTGGTTTGCCTGTGTTGCGTTTCAGGTACTCTTAAGGAATGTGGCCACTGTACATATAAACATGACCCACTCACCTCAATTCCTATTTCAAATCCCCCACCAAGGCCAGCTATCCCAATGGCAGAAGGTGCGGACCATTCTAGTAAGACAGACAAGGAGAAAATGTTGTTCTAACATTAAAACTGCTTCTCATATAAATATGAAAAAGAAAAATGCTAAAATAGAAATAGTATTTCTTTTGAAAATAATAGATATTATTAGATATTAATATTAGGTATTTCTCCCATGTTTAAAAATGTTTTTTAAAGAGTATACAATTTTTTGAAAATCGGAGATATTTGAGGAATATGAGATATTCATGAGTCTCACAGACCCATTTCCTCTAATCTCTCTCCATCAATATGCACAATACCAAACTACTGACTTCCTACATACTGAATATACATGGAATTTGATAATTTCAATCCCCAATACTTTTATAAAATAGTTTAGTTGTAGCTTTAGTCTTTAGTAGAATTTTATTATAGATACAGAGATCCAAAGGATTCAAGAGAATTTATGATCACTTCTAAGGGAAACATAATATTAAATTGTTTCTCTTGTAAATTTCTGAGGTAAAAACTGTTTTAATACCTTTTGTGTCTAGTATAAGAAATAGACTACAAATATAAGCTTATTAAAACTCTAACAAGACAAATTTTACATTTGGAAACTAAGTACAATAATTTCATTTGTCATGATATTTTAGGATTAGAGTGTGCTTATTTTTCCTGATACGGAAACAGTTACATCAAGTGAGCCTGTAAAATATTTTTAATTTATTAGGGGGAGGGTGGGATGGTGTAGCTAAAGCACTTTCTGAAAACATTTAATAACTTTCTAACTGTAATTTTTTTTGCTACTATGCATTCTAGATAATAGGATATTGCTTGAATGTATCCAAACTAATCTCTCTGGGCTTAGAGGAGTTTTGATTACAGAAATTACTGGCTGAAGATCCCAAAGTTGTTTTGTTCCTTGTGTTAGGAACTGTCCCTATGTTAAGTCCCCTGTGTTCCTGGGGGATGTGTCAGGACTTACTTGCATAGCTTTCAAATACCCTCAGCAGAGAAGCTGCAGGTAGGAGATAGAAATTAGGCTTTGAACGAGCAGAAAGGTCTTTCTAGGGTGGAAAAGGACCTTCAGAGCTGGAAACTGAGAGCCTTTCCTCCCTTCATCTGCAGCTACCAGTCAGGGACCTCCTCCAGAGAGCTTCTTACAGACTTTAGGCCCCAGCTTCTATTTCGTTTGGCCTTACTGCTGAAATCTTCCCATGAACACTCGGGCAACTCAATAAGAGACGGCTGTATTTCCACAGCCATGTTCTCATTTACTGTGGGGACACTTTGACAGGAAATAGTGATTTGGCTGACTGATACTAAAGGCCATATGCTCCACAAACACCTGTATTTATTGTCTGTAAGTGTCCCAGTCTTCCTCTCAAAATTATCTATGCTAAAAAACAGCTATTATTAGAAAAATGTGTTCACTTATGTGACTGAACAGCAAATGTTAAGTTGGCATAAAAAGCACTTCGGTTGGTTGTGACACACCTACATACATTTTAAATATTACTATAAATGCTGGTTCTTTCCTGTCAAATATATTTTGATTTCATCTCTGAAAAATCAAGTAATAGATTTTACCCAAGAAAACCAAATTATACTGTTCAGATATAATTTTGCCTTGGTGGAAATTCTTCAAATGTCACTGTTTTCATGATCTACTGCAGAGACAGAAAGGTCCACAGATGGCCCCTTATGTTCATGTCAATTTCCATAAAACAAGGCAGCTGTACCACTAAGTTGAGGAGTAAGGATTCATATCTAATGGAAATGCATATACCATCATGTTTAAATATTTCCCCATGGAATAATTAACAACATATACACAAAACAAGGTCAGATTTACTCATTGGGTCTTGCCTAAAACTTGGGGGCACTGTTGCCCCCACTGGGCTGTGCAGCCTATGAAATGCTCTGTACTCCTCTAGTGAGCAGAAGTCAGCTTACTCCCATCCGGACGCCGCGCCAGCACGATGCCGCTGCCTCCTCTGGCTGTCACCAGGAACCCAGCCTTGACCACAGACAGGACTGCGAGTCCTTTTGCCTTGGCGATTATGTGGGCTGTCAAATCAAAGCGACAGGTAGATAAGCGCTCTTTACACAGACAGGTGGGCTGTGCCAGACTCTGCAGGGACAGAGGGTTGTGCCGGCCCCAGGGTGCTCGTGGTAATCCCCAGGGCAAGCGGAAAAGAACTGAGAATAAAACTGTCACGCTGCAGATGGGCACAAGGCCTATCTACTCCTGCCTCTTCTTTCAATGTTGTCATTTTTGCAGTGCTAAACGCACCATTATAAATATTCCCAATCCTGCAACTGCCAAAATAAATCAGATATCTGAATGAGATTTTATTGATATCTAGTAGCAGGGTGAATATACTGGCAATTTCAGTTAATTCAGAACATAATGCACAATTTAAAAAATAAAAGTTACCATTTTCAAAGAAATTAAGATACATGCAGTATTAAAGAGAAACTTAAATGAACAAAAGATAGTGTAAGGGAGAATTTTCATCTTACAGCTTTACAGCTAAGTCCGTCTCTCATTAATGTAAAATGTTGAATTCAAAAACAGAAAAATTAAGCAATTTGCCTCATTAAAGAGTTATTTTAAGTTTATAAATAATATTCTTTGATAGTTAAGTGGCATTTTTAATGACTAGTACCCTGAAAATTGAATTCAATTTACAAATTATTCACTTATACATATTTCAGATATTCATTACATAAAATGATGATTAATTTGTGTATACATAGTTTCTCACTATTCTATAAATTTATTACACAACAGTACATCTTTCAAACTAACAAGGGAAGCCTAAAAATATAATTGTATGATAGTTTTAATTATCATTTTTATCAAATAGTCTATCAAGGAAGTGAAATCAACATACAAAAAAGGTTTTGTAGATGCCTCTAGAAAACACTAAACTTCTATGTGATTATGCCACCATTTCAAAATTTAAATTAATAACAGGCTCTTGGAAATCATTCATCCAAGAGCATGAAAAGGTTAACAAGTGTAATCCTTGTGGAGTTGTTTTTAATTAAGTGAGGCATGAAAGAAGGTTGTGTTCTTAGACAGCAATCTACTAAGTGTACTTTCTTTTTCTTTTTTTTTTTTTAGAGACATAGTCTCACTTTGTCACCCTCGGTAGAGTGCTGTGACATCACAGCTCACAGCAATATCCAGCTCTTGGGATTAGGCGATTCTTTTGCCTCAGCCTCCTGAGT